TTTGTCAACTGCCACACCGTACTATATTTACATGTAATTTATGACCATAAATCTTGTTACCTTATTGATCACCAATTTTATTTATGAAATTTGCTTTTAAATAGATTTTATTGATTTTCAGAAATGAAATTTACGCCCAAAAGATAACATCTGTTTTTTCATACAATAGCACAACTCGTTGAGGTAGGTGATATTCATGTTTTATAAGTGAAAAAACTTCGAGTGGTTGACTGGTAGCTCAAAGAGTCAGAGTCAGTCAATTAATTACACATTACAGGACTTGGTCTATCTCAGACTTACACAGGCAACTCAAACTTAGCAACTAAAATGGAATTTATAATGTATTAATTCATTCTTAAAACTGTGTTCTCCATGGTCCCTATCCTAATCAGTGGCACAACCATCTGCCTATATATCCAAACTGAAACTTTTTTATCAGAACCCTGATTAAATTAGTCTTCTTCGTTTTTTTCATTCTGTCTTTTTAATTGATGTGTCTCAATTGAACTTATCTTTCTTTAATTTTTTTTACCCCCATTGCCCATCTACTTTAATTTGTACATGTATTTGTTATAGTTTTTATTACAATATATTAAAATTAGGATTTCTTAAGTAGAGCCTTTTTCATTTTGTTCTTCGTAGCTTTTGTTCTAAGGGAGAAATGAGAAAAGAAAAGGAAAACACTCAATCCCAAACCTTTTCTTTTAGTTAATTAATTTATTCAGTAAATATTTATTGAATATATATTATGTGTCAGGTACAGTTCTGTTTGCTCAGAACACAGCATTATTGTCCCAGTTTAGTTAAGAAGATAGACATTAAGTAAATAATTACATAAATACTTAAAATAATATTAACCGATGCAACCAATTATTGGTTTCTAGGAACAGTTTATAGTCAGATCTTACGATATTATAATCTAGGGGTACAGGTGGAGGGATCGGGAAGAACCATACATAAGAAGGAAGACTAACAACAACAAAGATTAATATGTTAGCATCATTTTAAATGGCACTGTGGAGGTTTCTTTCTACTCAGCTGAAGTCTGTGGGTTCTGAACTTTCAATGGTGTATTTTAAACTAAATCCTTGTTAAGATAAAACCGGTTTATAACAGCTTTAGTTGATGGAAAGGCACATTTGGAAGATTAAGTATGGGTTGACATTATAAATAGATTATTTCACATCTATTTTTGTTTTCATTCCTTGTTTTTTCTTCCTATAATCTTTAAATTCCTTCTGTCTTTTTTCTCTTTGCCACTTCTGACTTACTTTGCATCTTTCTGTTTAATGTCTATCTTGTCTTATTACTCTACCACTTCCCTACCTTCCCTTACCCCTTGAATCTTCAGTGCTTTTGTCTTTTTTACTTTTATCCACAAATAGGAAAAAAGTAAAAAGAATTCAAGTTAAAATGACTTACATATACATACTAACATAGACAAGTTTGCGTATGTATATTCTAACTTTTGAGAACATGATATATTTTTTCAGTCTCTTTATTGTTGGTATATTTTTTAACATATTAAAGATGGCACTATATAAAAATGAGACTTAGAGAGTAAAAACAAACAATTTATAATTTTCTGATTAGCCTATCAGTAGTTCTTTTTATCATTTGAGGGCAAAGTTTAGCTTATTCCCATGGAACTGGTGAATGACTATAGGTTCAGAAAAGAAAGACATAAAAGACACGATATCGAGTGATTTAGGGATAAATCAAGAAATGTGACATTTCATACATGGGTCTTTTCACTTAGAGTGCAAGGTTGTCAGTCAGAAGTTGCATGCTATAGGAAATCAATTGAAGCTTGAGCCCATGGACATTTACTTCAGCAAAATTCTTACTAATTATCATGACTGTGTCTAGTTACACTGTTGTAGGCATAAATTAGAGTTTATAAAAGGTTGAGGTTCTTTTGTGTAATTGTAAACCTTATATTAATGATATATAATTTATAGTTTCTCAGTTATATTTTGAATAACACTATTCTTTATTAAAGCAGTGAAGTTTTATATGCTATATATGCTACTAGTAAGCCTTAAACCTAAAAAGTCATTTTATATGGAAAATTGAATATCCTATATAGCTGATTTAAAATGTCTTATGTTTTTCTAAAGATTGATTTTTTTGGTCTAATTTTTATGTTTTCTTAAGTAATAAATTTAAGTGATATGGTAGGATTGAATTTAACTTTCTGAAAACCGCTTTTTTTGATGACTAATCTTTAACTAGATATTGAATGATCCAGCTCAGGAAAACATGTCAAATATACTGAATTGGCACTTACAGAGTATTAACATCAAAGATCTGGTCTCATTTTTTAATGTTCTATATCAGTGATCAGCAAAGAAGGACCTATCACCTGTTTTTGTAAATAAAGTTTTATTGGAACACAGCCACACCTGTTTATGTGTCTGTTACCTGTGCATGTTTTTACACTACAAAGGCAGGGTTTAGTAGCTGTGACAGTGAACATACAGCAAAGTCTAAAATGCTGTCTGATCCTTTACAGAAAAAGTTTGCTGATCTCTGCTCTGTATAATCTAGTTGAGATTAAATTATGGCGTAGTCGATCTTTGATATTTGTACAAGTATTCCCTGAGACTTTTAAAGGAATACAAGTAGAGAAATACAAGTATTGGCTTTTTCTCTTTCCAAATTCATGTTTGTATCAAACTTGTTTCTGTGTAAATTTTCAAGTGTCAAGTTAATCATTTGTTTATTAGTTTATTTTTCCCTTAATGATCATTTATTACTATACTTACTTCAATTATAAATTCTAATAATAAAGCAAAATTGTGATCCAGATGCTAAGTGGTTGACTTGGATTATTAATGCCCTGCATGTCAGACTTGGCATCGTTACCAAACCTGTTTCAGATTCATTCATCAAAAGGATAAATCCCGACATTTTATGTACTTTTAAGGGCAATCACATACATTATTTATAGTCTTAATATTAAATTCATGTGCTAAAGATTTAGTATAATCTTTAATAAGAAAATTTGATTTTAATTTTTAAAACATTGTATTTGTTAGTGAGGAATTTTAATATTAGACTAAATTCAATTATCTTAACCATATCCTGTTAAAAAATGCTAATTTAAAGCATTGAAATGCTTTCCTTTTCTCTATTAAAATAACAATTCTTCACATTGCAGTACATGAGAAAAACCTAAAAGTATTATATAGAAATCCACACACTTTTTGTTGTGTTGATTATTTGGAATACACATATTAGGTAACCTGCCTATATTGTTATTTTCTTCCTGATCATATGTAATTCTTTGAAATGGAAAAGGGAAATTTATAACCTTGAGAACTAAATTTTTTTTTGCAAAAGTTCCCAGTAATCTACCAATCTAAATGTTTAATTTTCATGTATCTTTTCATATTTTAAATGATCAAGTTTAATAAATTAATTATGGAGTTTATAAAAATTTAAACTGAATCTTCTTTGGCAGTTGCCATAATCAACTCTTAGTTTTATTTCATCCAAAAAGAACATCAAGGTAAATATTCCTCACATATATGGCTTCCTTTAAAATCATATTAAGCCAACTGATGCTTAAATGCCACTGATGTTCTTCACATACTTTTACCTGATCATAAATAAGTGTAAGAATTTTGTTATCTTACACTTTTCTACTGTGTTTTTTAATTGAGTAAAAAAGAAGTGATTATCTTCATAGTTCTTATAGAACAAGTTTTTTTATGAAGCAGGAGATTTGAAAACGATTTATTTTGGGAGAAAAAAGATAAAATATGAGAGTGTTTTTGCCCTTGTTGAAATGTGAATCCAAGTGGACATTAGTAGTTTAAAATACATTAAGTTTATGTAATTCAAAATTACCATACCTTCCTGTTAACTTATACTACTTAAATATGTGTCGGAATAGTTTTCTGATATATTTATTTTATTCTGTTTAAAATACAATGTTCTAAAATTTATACTTTTTCTTCATCAATGTAGCTGTTTCATTGAACTGTAAAGTTTGGAAAAATTTTGTAACAAATTTATTAAGTGTCTTCTTTCATCTTTTCCTAGTATTGTGTGGGGGGGGGCAGTGGGTGTTAAATGTTAACTCATAGAAACATAGAAATAGGGCTTGAAAAACCAGGAACCTGGATATCTAAAGTTTTTAGTTCAATTTTAAAATAATGAGGCCATTTCTAAAATTCACATCATTTAGAAATACTCATTATAGATTTTCATTTAATTCGCCCAATATAGTGGTTGCCTAAATAATAGACAGTTTCTAAGATGGGTCATTTAAAGTTTTTTTTTTATGTTACCTTTACAGCATTTCTTCAATTCACCAACATTACCAATCATTTCAGTAAGCACTATAATTCTTATAAGACAGAATTCATTTTTGAGGGGAACCAGTTTGCTTTCTTTGTCCTTAAATTGAATAATTCTGTGTATATTATGAAAAAGAGAAAATGACATTAGTCATCTAAAAATGTTCAATTTTGGTCAGCCTTTCTATATAGTATACTTGTTTTAACAAATAAGTAGCAGCAGGAGATTTCAGGTCAAATGTAGTGATAATTATTTATCGCTGCTTTTGAGGTAACAGTTAAATTTTATAATAAAAATACTTGCCTTGTTTTATTTGTGATGATGTCCAAAAAACAGAGGAAGCACAGTTTCTGTTAAGCATTGAAAGTCCAGGAATAAATATAATGATGAGAATGAGTATGTCTATCACTGGGGAACTTTCTTCATCTAAGCACATATGAACAATTGATCCTTGTAGTCATATATAGCAGTAAACATTAATAACTTAACAGTCTGAAGTCAGTGCAGAAGATACGGAGCATTATTGAAAGATAGAGTCGAGCAGGTGGCACTTTAATATGTTCGGTGTCATGGTTGACTCTAAAGACTAGTCGAATGAAATTACTTGAGGTTCTAAAGATTTAAAAAGCGAACTCATTTTGCTGCACTAAGGAAATGCTACTGATCAGGCTTTCTGTGTCCCTTTTTTCTAGGCTAGAAAATATTAACCCTGAAGAAAATGACATGGTAAGCCATTCTCTGAGGAGATTTCTTGATGTCAGTCTTATATCTTAGAGGCTTAAGTTCAATTGAGTGGGTTTCAAGAACTAAGATGTGGGAAAAAGAAGAATTGACACACTAATAATGTACATCTTTGCTGCAATATGAAAATTCAATAACTTCACTCAGTCAATTTACAATTCACATGTGCCTATTAATTAAAACCCTATATTAAATAAAATATATTAAAACTTCATGTCTGACTAACATATAATGGTGTTGGTAGACATTACAGGACTTACTGAACAGAATAAACAATGCAGACACAGGCATAGCTATTCAGAAGAATGGAGCTATAATTGTGGATAGAATCTACAAGACCAAAGCATGTAAAAAGAGAATAACTGCAGAAGAAATGAATGCAGTGATAGAAGAACGGGATGCTGCTTTGTCTCAGGTAACTGACTATATCTGTAAAAGCATCTACTACCATTTCCCCCTCCTCTTTACCATTAAAAAATTACTTTCCCCACATATTCTTAATTTAAATGAGTTCTTAGCAGATAAGTAATACCACAATGATAGATGTAATAATCACGTTTTGTTATTCTTCAAAATGTCCTCGTTTCTTAATATACTGTTAACCTGTCATAAAAAAAAACATAGTTTTTGTATTTAAAATAATTACTCATATATGAGACATCTTGAGTCACAGTTTTGTGAAGACTGAGATTGTGTCTTTTATTATTATTTTATTCCCAGTGCCTAATCCAGTGCCTTTTAGTAAGTACTGATAAATGAATCAAATTATTAGTGTATTCTTTTCTGACATCACACCTTCCTGCTCTAACTGAAACCTAGTTGCCTCCCTGAGGCTACTGCTTCCGCTTCAGTCCTCTCAGGTAGTGATTGTATTTCCACCCAAAGCAGTTATACCAATGGACGTGAAGGCTTGTTCTTCATTAGTGTGTTTAGATTGTTGTTCCTTTTTTTCCTCTCTAAAGACCTTAGAAGCTTATGCATCAGATTTTACCACCCAGTACACACTCTTATGTTGCTTCCCTCATTTCTTAAGGATTTTAGGGTCCATTTCATTGTCCCTCTCTTCAGACTACGCCTTTCATGATTGATGATGATTTAAATATCTATGTAGATGATTCTTTCAACATCCCAGCCTCTCATCTTGAATTTCTCTCCTCCAGTCGTCGTGTATTCTACACTTCTTCTGCTGTCACCCTATGGTCATATCCTGTTCTCGGTCATGGTCAGTCTCAATTTCAAGCATCCTACTTTCTGACCACCACTTACTATCTTTCCAGCTCACTTACTCTCAAACTCTGACTATAGCAAATTTTCAACTCCATTAGTATCTTTTCTATTGATCTTACTCCCTGTTTTCCTATCCCTCCAGCCTCTCATGTCCTCACTTCCCTGTTTATCTAGCTTAGGTTTCATGGCTCACTCTAATTATCAACAATTTGCATTTAATATGACCTTGGTTCTCTTGGCCCTCTCTTTGTCCTACTCACCTGGCAAAACCTAAGCTTTATAAATTTAACTTTCCGCCTGTCTACACTTTCACAGCTTTATATGGCAGGAGAATGTCACACAAGTTTGCCAAATGTACTTACCTTAAATTCATGGCTCCTGTCTTCAGATAGGCCCTTGGTGTTATCTGATAATCTTTTTGCTTTTTGTTAGTCCATCCTACTTCCCTTTAGAGGCCAATTTTCTCTTCTCCCTTCTTCTTAGGTACCCACCCTTCCCTAAGAAATGCTATCTCCACCGTTTCATCCACCAGCCCACCTGCATTTGCACCCATATGCTCTGCCTTTTCCAGTTTCTGTCTTTCTTTTACTACATGCATGTGTTTAAGGACAACCTCTCTGTTTCCACAGTAGTTGACATCTTTTCTTGCCTGCGTAAGGTTATCACCTAACCAGTTGTCCCTTTTCTCTTCTACTTCATGCCGTGTTTCCTACTAGTTCATTTCTGTCACTATCTAAAATGCTTTATTATCTTCCATGGAAGCTGGGTGGAAGTTTTGGTTAAGCCTTAGTCTATTTGTGGTTTACTGCTGCATTTTTGTACTTCCCAAACTGAGAGCTGTGTATTCACTAGGGCCCTACTCCTGGCAGATCCTGTATTCTAGTGTTTGTCTCTTCAGCATTGTAAGACTGGAAAACTCCATTATTCTTTTCAAAGAGTTTAGGGTTTAGCTTTTTAATTTCTCACTCTGTATAGGTCTGGGATTAACAAATGCCTTGAGGTGGCATTCTCAGATCTCAAATTTTGTCACTTCAGCTCTGTATAACTGCCAGAAGCATAGATAATTTCTCTGTCCGCCAGGAGTCCTCTGTGTAGTCAAAGCCTGATTTCTCAGCCCCTTGCCAATGCCTTGAATCTTTAAAACTCAGGCGGGAAATGACTGCACATCTTCAAATCTCCTCTCTCCAATTAACCCTTCTTAAGAATTTTAGTCGCTCATGTTATTGTCGTAGCGGCAGCCTTCTTATGTCTTTTAAACAGATGATTTTAAAATTTAATCTGGCTTTCCTTGTTTTGGGTTGGAGCATTATTCTGCCACAAATGATTCCATCCTATCTAGATGTGGAGATCTGACATTTATCTTCAGTTTAGAATGGGAAAAATTCCTTAAACTTTTAAAATGGGCAACTGTTTTTTACCACGTTGTACCCTACCAAGTGTATTCAGTCTTGGATCAACGTATTGTTGTAGAAGAGATAGCCAAAACTAATTTTATGTGCTTGGAAATAATCATAACATAAATTCAAACATTTGATTTTCTAACCATTTATTTTCTTGTTAACTAAGAATAAACACATAGAGCATAATTAAATATTGCTTGCCATTCGTTCCTTCTCCCTCTCTGTCCTTTGCCTATTGCCTCTCATAGTATAAAATATAAAGAAATCAATACTTGATGGTATTTACCAACATGTCATTATTTAAAAATAGATATTTTCTATCACTGCAATATATTTATTAATCTCTATGTATGTATTTATTATGTTTTATGGAACAGTTCTTGTTTATTTTAATTTATATACTTGTCAAGCTTTCTGGCCCAAGTGGTATTCATTTTAATATTTATGTCATTACTAGCTTATAATTCTGAATGGAAACTTTTTTGCATGAATTTTTAAAAATAAGGTTTTTTATTTTGCAATAGTTTTAGATTTGCAGAAATGTTTCAAAGATAGCACAGTACAGAGTGCCCATGTGCCTTTTACCTAGTTTTGATTTCCCCTGAGTTTTGCCATTTCACATTACGTTTATCAAAATTAGGAAACCCACATTGGTACATTACTATTAATTTTAGACATTCTTCAGATTTTACCACTTTTTCAGTAAAGTCCTTCTGTTCTAAGATTCATCATGTCTCCCCAGTCTCCTCTGCCCTGTGACAGACAGCTTATTAGTCTTCCTTTTTTTTACCGCCCATGCCTTTGAAGATACTGTTCAAATATTTTGTGGATTGTCTCTGACTTTGGGTTCATCTGACATTGTTCTTATGATTAGACTGAGATTTTGAGTTTGGGAAAGAATTATGAGAAATTTCACCTTAATTTTAAAGCTGTTATTTGTATCAGATATTTTATTATTTATAGTTTTAGATTTGCAGAAATGTTTCAAAGATAGCACAGTACAGAGTGCCCATGTGCCTTTTACCTAGTTTTGATTTCCCCTGAGTTTTGCCATTTCACATTACGTTTATCAAAATTAGGAAACCCACATTGGTACATTACTATTAATTTTAGACATTCTTCAGATTTTACCACTTTTTCAGTAAAGTCCTTCTGTTCTAAGATTCATCATGTCTCCCCAGTCTCCTCTGCCCTGTGACAGACAGCTTATTAGTCTTCCTTTTTTTTACCGCCCATGCCTTTGAAGATACTGTTCAAATATTTTGTGGATTGTCTCTGACTTTGGGTTCATCTGACATTGTTCTTATGATTAGACTGAGATTTTGAGTTTTGGGAAAGAATTATGAGAAATTTCACCTTAATTTTAAAGCTGTTATTTGTATCAGATATTTTCTAATTTTACTATGTCTTCTGTGTGGTGCCCGTATAACTTTAATCCCATTCTATGTAGTTATTGGAAATCTTTAAATTCAGTGAGAACTTCTTGATTTCGATACATTTATTAACTTCCTTTATTTTTTAAATCAAGTTAAAATCATTCATTTACTTGAACTGGCCTTGTTAAAATCTTATCTTTTTTCAGATGAATCCCTATACTATTATTTATTCAAATTCTTTTTGTATATATTTTTCTATTTCTTTTTTTAAGTTGAATTTATTGGGTGACATTGGTTAATAAAATTATACAGGTTTCAAGTGTACAATTCAATAATATGTCATATATATATTGCATTGTGTGTTTACCACCCAAAGTTAAATTTTCTTCCATCACCATATCCCCTTTAACTTTATCTACCTCCCCTTTCACCCCTTCCCTCTACTAACCATTAAACTGTTGTCTGTGTCTATGAGTTTCTGGTTGTCTCGTTTGTTGCTTTCAGTTTTATATCCCACATATGAGTGAAATACTTTTTCTGTCGGACTTATTTTGCTTAGCATGATAATCTCAAGGTCCATCCATGTTGTTGCAAATGGCAATGTTTTATCTTTCCTTATGGCTGAGTAGTATTCCATTGTATATATGCACCACATCTTTATCCAGTCATCTATCGAACAGCACGTAGGTTGTTTCCATATCTTGGCCACTATGAATAATGCTGCTTTGAACATTAGGGGGCACATACTTTTACAGATAAATGTTTTTAAATTTGGGGGGTACATACCCAGAAGAGGGATTGCTGGGTCATATGGTAATTATATTCTTATTTTTTTGAGGAGCCTCCATACTGTTTTCCATAATGGCTGTACCAATTTACATTCCCACCAGCAGTGTATGAGGGTTCCTTTTCCCCCACAACCTCTTTAACACTTGTTGTTACTTGTCTTGTTGATGATAGCCATTCTAACAGGTGTGAGGTAATATCTCATTGTGGTTTTGATTTGCATTTCTCTAATAGCTAGTGAAGTTGAGTATCTTTTCATATGTCTGTTGGCCATTTATGTGTTCTCTAGGGAGAAGTGTCTGTTCAGGTCCTCTGCCCATTTTTTAATTAGGTCGTTTTGTTGTTATTGTATTAGTGTTTTATATACTTTGGATATCAGGCCCTTATTGGAGGCATTGTTTGCAAATTCTTCTCCCATTCAGTTGGTTGCTTCTTTGTTTTGCTGATGGTTTCTTTTGCTGTGTAGGAGCTTTTTTGTTTGATATAGTTCATTCATTTAATTTTGCCTTTACTTCTCTTGCCTTTGAGGTCAAATTCATAAAATCCTGAAAGCCTTAATGTCTTTCATAAGGCGAATTAAAAGTTTTATGTTTAGCATTTGTTTGATAAAGTTCTCTTACCAACCA